GCGTACTAAACTGACTTACTATACCATTCTCCTTAGCTTCATAATTTTTAGAGATTTCCAATGCTTTCTCTTCTTGACAAGTGTAAGAACATTTATTACAACGTCTTATAAAGTGCAACACCTTATCTTACAATTTTCATACACAAATAATAGAAATGATCTTCCGTATACTCGAACACGTTTTGTTAGCACAGTCAATAAAGTGTGTGATCTGATGTGGGCCCAGCTGTGTAAGCCAGAATCCGCTATGAATATTTGGCGTTGTGCAAGGTTCCTTACTCGTTCCGCTTTTGTTAATAAAAATATTTCGCGTACGATTACGAAGTAGATATTTACCCTCTGTGGTAACTTGTCTGTTTCAATTTATGACTAGTCTGAAGACTGGATGAAAATGGGGACTGGGGGAAATGGGGGGCGGGCCCCACTTCAGGTAGGGACAGGTCTCCAGTTTATCATAAAAAAACTTAGACACTACGCTGCACCAGTAGGCTTTGCGGGCTTTAGACTATAGGTGGTTCAACCTCAATAGGATTCAAACACGGCAGCTCGTAATCTGCAGTCGAATAGCTAACCAAAACTCAAAGAAGTAAAAAAAACGTAACGCGTAAGGGCGACAATTTATCTAGCTTTCTTTTTCTCTGGCAATCACTTAGTTACTATTATCTCTATGTATTATTGAGTATTTCTGTAGTTACGTGAGTAATACAGTTAAATAAAACCCTTTTAACTGTTCCAAACGCAAAATCTATTAGTTCATATATTTTAAGTACGGCGAGACATTTTGGATGCTTTGCACAAACAGTGATCATGGAAGGGCAAGGCACCTGTAACATCGGGCCGTAGTTGAATTTAAAAAAGTTTGTATATTTCGCGTTTAAAAACGTTGTATTGTTGTTTTTGCTTGTGTTATTTTAAATTGGACTTGATAGAGCAGCAGTCACATACGACGTTTTTCTCCGGAATGGCGTTTAATCCACACTATGATTCTTGATTCACCCAATATTATGATAAGACACCACATACACAGGAGAGTTTATTGATCTCACGCACACACCAAACACTTTACATACATAGACTTTAGGGTGAACGCAAACTCGGTACACCTAACTAGGACTCCTAGAGTAATATTGTTTTCAGTTTTTCACGACTTTTTAATAAGGCCCATCGGGAAAACAGACATTAAAATGTGTTTGCTCCAGTTTTGACACTGAATGTATGTATTTACACTTTTACAGAGTTTCCTTATTTACCCTTATATATAGCTAGCCCAAGTATTGTGTGTGATGAGTTCAAGCAAAAAAAAATATTTAATTGTATGTATTTTATGCGAGTAGTATAGTAGTTACTTTATTTGTATCTATAATCCGACGCACTAAGATGCTTTCCAGTCTGCGTTTTAAACCTTAAAATTTCATATCAAATTCTTTATCAAATCATTATCTTTATAATATCGTCTTTACTTTAGATATCAGTGTTAGTTCTCACGACAAAGTCTGCGTTCAGCCTTATGTGTACAACACACGCACACAAAGCTCTCGAAAATTTGGCAAATGTCCTCAAATGTGCCGACATTTCACCCTTTTTGTGTGACATCAGTACCGTTTGCAGCGAAATAAAGATACATATTTACAACTCTTTTTAATACATTTATTAAACATAGTCTCATGGCCACACAAAACATGTAGACATATTTGGATTGTGATTAGGGAGTTTGTACACATATTTTGTTCGTTATAATTAAACAGAAATTTTAAGACAATTACTGTATACAATATAAAAAAAAGCTCTTAATTTTAAAGAAATGAGTTACATTGCGTTTATCATATGTTGCGTTGTTAGTCAATCATTTCGTGACGAGTCCGATTTGGGCTTAACCACTTTTTTTACACTTCAATTTAGTTATATTATACTTGCTGTACCATCGACGTCGTCCGCGTAGAATAATTATTTTAGACTTCAAATGTTGTTTTGGCAAACCTCCTCTTCATCTTTATAAAATACACCTTCGACATCTGTAGCGTAAGTCGTTCTCTCAAGTTAATCTTAAGTACATGTACTGTCGTGGACATTTTTTTAACTTATTTACAGACAAATCATTATTTCATTAATTATAAGTTTTCGTAGCGCACGCGACGGAAACTCAAAAACATTTCTCACTGTTTATTAGCTTCTATTGATCGCAGCGTGTAGTTATATAGCCTTAAGCATTCCTTGATAAATGCTCTAACCAAGACAAAAATAATTTTACAATTCGAAGCAGTAGTCCCGGAGATTAGCACATTCAGAACAAACAAACTCTTCAGCTTTATAATATTAGTGAAGATAACCGTGTCTACGAAGTTCGGGTTCTACGAATGCACATTGATGCCCTTATACGTCGAAATTATTAACTTATTCTCGTTTAACACAAAAACTATAAAATACACATTTATTTTTTAAAAAACACGGTTGCATTTGTGTGCTAATTACCATAAAAATCTCTTCTTTAAAAGTCGTTTAATGATGAACTATTGACATTTTAAAATCTACACTTAACAAGACAACTATCTATATTCGCTTTGAGTAGGATGATACCATATGTAAGTATTTAATTTGTGACATTTTATTTAGTGTTTAAAACGAAACTGAACTGGGAGTTGATTTTTTTTTATTAAAAATTTCAACTCTCCTTTTTTGCGAACCCTACAAGGATGGGCACGCACATTAAAAACGTACAATATTCGCGTCAAGTTAAATTACGGGATTCCGACACAAAAATGTCGCTTCTAGAGTTTTTGCACTCTTTAAGACAAATGTGGATTGACGGTACTATGTTTTACCCACCGTCTATAGTGCCTCAGGCCAAAAATAAACATTATATCGTCTATCCTCATTAGATGTTGCTTAAAATCACGTTTGATGATTTAAAGATTTATATATCTGTTATTAAAATCGAAAGTGAAATAGACACAGAAGTGTGTCCACCCCGTGCCCCACGAAGGGCGAACTAATTTCATCCACACTTATTTAGCTCACGCCTCGCTAATGTCAGCTCAGCAGGCTTTTAGTGGAGTTGAGTGGAGTTCTTAGTTAATGCATTTGTCTAATGTCTAGATATAACTGTGTGTAATAAAATTACGACTTGCTTTATACTTGAGAACTCGGTTTTACAATGGTATAAAATTTAGTTAAAATCAATTTTTGATGGGCAGAAATATAATAAACAGGCTCTGGGCTCAATGCTTTCGGTGGGTAGTTGGGAATTTCGAAATTCTGTTTTGGTCAACCACCGTCCGCAGATGGAAAAGTCTCGTTTCGGTCTCAGCCTATTGATTTGTGAATGTCCAAAGCCAAAATAGGTCGGCAGCGGTGTCTGTTTAGATATCGGTTCTAGTATATCATCCATCATGTGAACATCATGTTTGTCTGTCTATTTTCTCTCGATCGATAATTCGTAAGCTGAGGGACGTAAAGCTATGAATGAATAATTCTTGCTAATTTTATTTTGTTGAAAAATATCAAAATACACAACGATCACATTGGTTAGAACAACTGCAGGGAACGCTGTGGATTCCGTTTTAAGTCCGGCCCGTGTCGTAATTTTTTTTTTCAATATAAACTCGATTTTTAATTTACAACGATCATATTATAGCGTATTACCAGAACTTTTCTTAAGTTTTGTTTATATTTACGCAAGCAATAAGTAAAACATTTTCAATGGTTTAAAACATGAAACTTATTTAAAATTTTTCCGACGTTTCGGATGCTTTGCAGCAGCCATAGTCACGATGCCATAGTTATAATAAACTGTTAATAAACTTATTTCACTATAGTAATGTATTTCGCCTTTGAAACCGTTGAAAGAGATTTTTTTTTTTAAGTTTTACTTAAAAGTATGGTAAGTGAAACCGCAGGAATCTCTTTTGATATTCCAACATGAAAAAAAGCAATTTTCCATCACATCAAGGTAATAATTCCTATTTCAATAAGCTTCACTCATCTTTGAACTCATTTGCATATAAAAGCTAGCTTAAATTTCTTTTTGAGCCATCTTCGCTATGAATCATTATGACCTGAAAATTTCATAATATTTTTAGTGAATTATGTTGGTACGATATTAGGTATTATTCCGTAATTTTGTTTAATTTCGTGGATTGTAAACTTAACTATTTTCTAATTAAATTTTTTTACTCTTCAACCTTTGTCCAAAGGTAAAAAATACTATGAGTGGATTACAATGTGAAATATATTGTTTAACTTATTTATTTTAACGACCCGACGTTTTGGATGCTTTGCAGAAGCACCTCACGGTTGGGGATAAGGTAGCTAATACATGTCGTGTTTTAACCCGTTCAGTGTTTTATTTATAAGTAAAACGTTTTTCAACTTGGGCTACAATCGTCTATGATTGTGCTAAACTTGTTTTGACGGTGTATAAGATATAAAAAAATAACTATTCGAAATATTATATTGATTTAGGAATCACTATAATTTTATTGACTGTTAAGACAATTATTTGGTTTTAAAATGAAAAACCGGTGTTTATTTTTATTTTAATATTAAAACCGATTTTCTAAACTTTCGAGCTCTTCTTCAACAACACATGTCAACACTGATTTTAACTAAATTCCCGCAAAATGCAGCCACAATCCCTAATATTCTTACCCAAATACTAACTATACGTATTTTGAAAAAAGGCGCCGAAACTAGAATAGTTATAGTATCTTAGATATATAGACATTCAAACAAACGTGATACTAAAATTAGTATTTTTTAAAAGTTAATTTTGACAAAGTGCTCTATCAAATATCCTTGTAGTGTTTCTGTTTAGTGTAACGACTTACAAATAACTCACTCTCTCGTCTACTCTGACTCACTTCAAGCCATACTCACTAAACGCCGCGTCAGTGAGGTTTGATTTCTTGAGATCGACGCCATCTAACGGGACAGTAACTCGCTTGCCTAGAGTTACCATCATCACGATGTGGGGCTTCTAAAAAAGTAGTGAGTCGCGAGTCAAAATGCTAGCCATGTCCACGTTAATGATGCCCGCCGCTACCATGACCACGATGACGAACGCCGGACCTATACCAGTTGCAGCTGCGACGAAGCTCGAGCCGAAACTGCTGCAACTGCCGCACCCGGCTCTGATGCAGCAAGCCCCACAGCAGCACCACCATCAGCACCAGCACGGGAATAATAATAAGCTCGGTGAGTTGTTTATTTAACCAGTAACATTTGTTTTTACGTTGTCTAAAATAAGATGACAGGGGGGGGTACGGCGACATTATTGTTCAATCCTTTAAACCTTGTTAAAACTCTAAATATCGTAGCAAAGATTTTGTTAATAATGTGCAAAATTTTAGGTAGGAATCATTGTGTCCCATGGAATCTTTGCCTTCCTTCACCTTTAGAAGTAGAACATTAAATCTCTATGTCGTGTGTATTATCTACCGACATTTTAAGTCTATGATCACAAAAGGTTTCAGCTGTATGTTTATCTGATTGTCTATCAGGACAAAGCATACTTTACTTATGTATAAAAAGATACCTGACAATATTAAATGGGAAAGTCACCTGCTTTTAAAAGGTAGAATTTTTATGCATAGCCCATATTATATTTAAGTCCCCAAAAACGACCCTTAATCCAAAAAGCTAAGGGTTGTCACATAAAAAATATAATAACAGTTTTTATGCGTTCTTTATAGAGCAGGTAAATATATTGTCATACTGAATAACCTATGGAAGAATGTAATTCTGGTATGATCAGAATAGTTAAATTTCACTACTGCGCGCTTATTGGAGTAACTATTTGGTTGATTTTAAAGTTAATGGCTATGTAATTTTATACAAGATTTTGTTGGCATTTGTCATCATCTTAAACGACGAGCACCGGGGCTCAGCGCTAGTTAAAGTCTAAATCCAAAAGGTCAACAGCTCATCTTGTTTCGAATATTAAATGAATTGGGTAAACCACCTTTCTCCTAATGCATCTTATACTATCAGAATGTCGTACCATTTATATTTGTTCCATATCCGCTATTTTGTTGGTTGTATTTCAAAGATAATGACACTTTATGGCGTCTAAGCAGCCTTTGTTCATATTTACAAGTTGACGACCCGACTTTGCTTTTATATCATAACAGTTTGTCCAATTTAGTATGATACTTTCAAATGTTAGTAAATCTATTTGATCGCGTCCGTAGTTCAATAGTTGAACGCGTTGCATAGCTTAGTAGTGGGCACGAGTGGACTTCGAATCCTGGATAAAAAATAAAATGTTTCGTTTGGGCAGCTTACTATAACTTCAGTCTACCAACACTTTAGGGTTTAAAACACGAAATATATTAGGTTAGTAAGTTACATGTATTGCTGTGTAACGGACACATATATGTGTTCGCCCTACAAACTTAACGGGATTACAGAACACCCAACGAATCTAATGTATTATTAACATTAGAAAAAAAAAATTTCTATTGATTTATAATATTTGTATAATTTTTTATTTACTCAGTGGTAATGTTAAATGTTGGGACCTGTTAATACTAACAATACTAAGTCAAGTTTCGCTTTAACTCTGGGCTATACGAGACTCCCAACTAAGTTACAGAGTCCTTCATATTCAAACGGCATTTTAATTAATTTCGAATTGAAAATTTTACACGACAATGGCCGCGGGCCATTTTCTTTTTTCCAGGGATAACAAAGCGATGGAAATTAATTACGTTCAATTTGGAAACGTTTTGCGTTTTAAATGAAAATGTTTTTCATGACAAGACTATTGCATATATTTCTTTGTACATGGTTAATCGTTAAAAAAAAATGTAATAGATTAGCTTGGAGTTCACTAGACGGAGATATATCTCTGCTCAACGGGCCGTGGGTTCGAGGCTGACCAGGTCACGAACCACCGACCACAGAGCCGTGAAGTTAATTTGCTTTAAGTCTGTAAATTTCCGAATATCCAAAGCCAAAAATAGGCCGACAACGCATCTTGTTTAGTTGTGATATGGTTGATCGCTCGTAAATCTACTGCCTGGAACTTAGGCTTACCCACTCCCACCTGAAGAATCATTTGTGCACTCGTGTTCAGTGGTTAGCACTGAAATGATAAAATTGAAGCTTTATAAATCCTGGATTATGTAATTAAGAGATCTCAACCCCTGCGGTGTGTCCTTCCAATTCAGTCAAATATCAAGTTACATTTGTGCACCCTGCCTTAATTTCAAAGTGACCACAGTTTGAATTGCACCTTTGTCATTCAACACGTCGGGGGTTACAAACCTTTTTTGTGTTACTTAAACGGACGCTCGGGTAACGGATGGGGCCTCTGTGGTTTTCACTTGTCGAAACGAATTAACCAACCAGAAGGTTATTTATTTGTCAATTATGTAAATTTTGACAGGCACATTGGTTAAATTGATTAAATTGAACGGCTCTTGGGTTCTATTTCCATCGGATCCTATTTATTTGTTTAAATTAGTTTTATATTTTTTTCTGAATATCTCGACTGTCTTAAAAATCTAGATATACAATAGTGGTACCAATATTTATATTTCACCCAAATTACTACTACAGATGAAAAAGATGTGAAGTGTAAATCCTGTTTTGATTTCAGTCGGTGGATTTCCAAATGACCAACTGCAGTATGAGTCGACATTAATTAGACTGTTTTAAACCTGGGTTATTTTTACGTCCGTCAACTAAATCCACTGTTTATCTATCGATTTTCATAAAATGAACAGCTCCCTCTGGGGCCCAAATTTTTAAACGATAAATATTGTACAACCGTCGTGACAACTATGCGCACGATTCCGTTTGTAACTGCTCTAAGAAAATTGTCAAACGTTTTCTTTTTTAGTGACATTGCATTTATTAGCTAGCCTTTATAATTAACCGGAAGTTTGAGCGGGAAGGGCAATGACCACGCCAATGTGGTGTTCCAGAGCCGTATACTACCAGTGTTCGGGAACAAGGGTCTCTCCGTCTTTGATAGGGTCATCGTCATAGTTGGTTGAAACGATTCCCGAAGTTTTTCAGTTGACATTAATTTCATCTACGTTTGAACCCAGGACGGGGGGACCAATAAGCTACGTAGCTTGCCCCTTATAACATTGGTATAGATAAAATTTTGAAACTACCAAGTTGGGAAATTTCAGTAGAATTTTATCCCGTCGGTATATGAAACGATCTTTGCAGGCGTCAAGAATATTAAAGATTTCCGTTTAAACTTGGCTTATATCCAGTTTTTCACTCAAACGAAGCTTCGCTGCCAAGTTTGGTGTTCTGTGTTTGTTCATCTTTTACCACATACGTCAATTGGCCGTTGTTTTAATGTTTGCTGATCTCTTACGAAAGAAACGTAACGTAACGTGCTCGGTGGTGGTGGCAGCGATAGCTAATAGTCGTCGTGGGTTTGTATCCCATTCGGACCTACATATTCTAAAATTTAATTATAATTTATCAAAATGATTCGAAATTTAAAAATTTCGTCATTCGTTTTTTACGCTATTATTACAGATGTTGTTATTTGTTTGTTTGTCAAACAATTCAATAAAATAAATAAATAAACTGATATAAATCACTAGAGAATAGGAACCCTAGGTATAGCTAAATATTAATCTTAATGGAAGAAATAGTTACAAATCTATTAAAGTTACAATTATATTTATTTCGATCCATTACAAGAAAATAAAAAAAAGTTTCGAACTTGTCTTAATGCGTTCCATAGCATTTAACATGAGAGGAGCTAGCTTTGAATAACGAGAATACCATATTTTTTTCAGTATAACAAATATAGAAATGAGTTCACCCCATACCCCAAAGGTGAAAGGGTTCCACTGAAGCCCCATAACATATTTTAGAGTTAAAATTAACTATACTAAGTAAATAGTGTGTATAAGCATTTTTCCAAGAGATTGTTTTGAACTTTTAAATACAAGACGCCATTCAACTGTTTTTTAAACATCGTGTTCATAGACTATACAGTGTCATCTTGTATAGTCTATGGCTTTTAAATACAACTTTAACGGTTCTAAACGCGATAATATATTAGTTAAACTTATTTGAAAATTATTTTTACCTTCGGTCCGACGTTTCGGATGCTTTGCAGCAGCCGTGGTCACGGGGAGTCTCCCTAAGTTTAACTAATATATCGCGTTTTAAACCGTTAAAGTGTTTTATTTAAATGTGTACTACTCGCGTAAACTACAGTGAATTTAGAAGTTAAAAAAAAGTTTATAGTAAGAATTTCTGAGAACATAGCGTTCAAACTAACAGATCCTTCAAATTTAAATATAAAATTTCAAATTAGCCTGGACGGTTATGAGATATTAATCAAAATTTCATTTCGAATAACCCCATTCTCCCCTTCTCGCAGTAACCGGAACCTAACTAGGTCAGTATATAATTAGTTAAAATTATGGCGCACCTTCCCTCTTATACTATTCATTATTTTAAACGTGTAGGCTTTTGATTTATAGCGTTCGCCCCAACACGGGGACATAACTGGGATACGAGCACGAAATTGACTATGTATATAATTCCCAGTACGAGACGCTTTTTTATGACAGAAGAGTATATCTGTATTTATTATTATATAAAAAAAAAATCAATTTTAGATATTACGTGTCCTTCTGTATGGTGTGAAGTCTACCCCTTGCATATTTTCTTTAATCTAAAATGTATTTTCAATTTACATAATGCATAATTAAACATTTTATAAGGTCTGGCAGGAAAAAATAAAGAAGGCTATTTTTAAATTAATTATTTGAAACACTTTTCATTACATTTCGTTAAACGCAGTCTTAAAGCAATAGAAACAAAAGACGGCATTATTTTGATTGTTTTGAAAGGCGTTCAGATAACATTGGAGGAAAGTCGGGAAATGGATTTTCCGTGGATCTTATGAATTGGTTCTTTGTTCAATGAAATGACTAACACGTACAAATAGTCGAATAAGGAAAGCCGTGAAAACTCTGTCGGGCCTCCCGCGTCGGTTTAAAGTGAGCAGATTCAATGATTGGTTTTATTAATACGCTACTTTTATCGTACTTACGTAACGTTCTTTTCTTAGAGAATCGAATTTAGAACGGGCCACAGGAGTGTGGACTACTTTAAATAAAAATTGATGAAAAAGCCAGACTGCCAGATGACACAAAACATTTTTAGTACTTAGGTCCAGATTTGACAATCGATAGCCAATTGGCGTA